GAATGAAGGAGAATCTACTCACATCAGCTGCTGCTGGAATGAAATCACACAGAAAGTTAAAGTTGCTTGGTACATCAATGAGAAAAAACACACCAGAGTAAAGCAGTTACTCCAAGAGCATAAAACACAGAACTGTTCAATTCTGAATCTCACAAACATACTTAAAAACACTTCAGGTCATTATGTTTGTGAAGTGACTCAAGACATACCAGTCCTGCTTGAGAAGAATGGTAGTGGAACAGTCTTATCTGTCAATGACAATCTAGTAGAAACGACAACTGGTAAGTTATTAAAATGCTAAAAGACCACCATTATTTATTCAGATCACCTGCTGCTGGAATAAAAGCAGTCTGGAAGTATATGTCAGCACAAAAGTGCCTTTTATTCTAAAAATCCCAAATAACAAAACAATGTAGGTGATTATGTTTGTAAAGTGATTCAGTATTTCCTGCTTGAATATAAGGAAATCAAAACATCACTGTATGTTCATTCATTCAACAACTGACATTGTATCACACAAATTTCAATCTAATAAAAATCTGTTGGAAGACATGCAACATAATGTCATTTAAGCAATGTCAGATTTAAGGACTGTTGCATAAAGAGACAATCCAATTTATCTGCTGTTTTACAGTCAGTGTTCACACACTTTTCAACCCAGCAGCTGGTGAGTACTTACACCATGTTACTGAAAAACATATTGTTCTGCAGTTAGTCCATGTTGTCTGGATGTGTTGAGTCATGTGGGTGATTTGGGTTTCTCAGTGGTTTCTTGTCACTCTCTGTTGTCTGTGTCTAATAAAAGTGGATAACATGTTAATCATATTTTAAATGTATAATAGTTTCCTAAATTAACAGGCTATTTGTAAAATGTCAGAATTAATTTTCGTCAATAATATTTCTCATTAAAGTAAAGCCAGATGTAGGCTACTTGATAATCCAAAGAGAAATCCAAAAGATGAGAACTATAATTATTTGGATCCTAAAGGTAAGATGTTATATGAATATTGATGCTTTTTTTTTATCTTGGATGTAAAAGTTCAACAGTAATTTGATTCTGTAAATATTAAACTAAAGGAACTGGTTTTCATTTCTACACTCTAGGTCCAAATGAAAAGTACCTTTTCAAAATGTACAACTTTGTACCTTATTTACCTCGAAAGGTTGAATATTGTTACCTTAAAGGTACATATTAATCGTTTTTGAAAAAGAACCGCCCCAGTGACAGCTTTTGTACCTTTTTTTCCCTGATAGTGTAGAAACATAATGATTAACCCAGAAATAACTTTTTTTTACATTTATTTATTATTTTAATGAAATTAATTAGTGTTTTTTGCCTTACTAAGGGTGGCCACACACTTGAAGATTTTAAGGCTGATTTTAAGCCCGATTTTCATACCCAAACAATGGTGGCATGTCCCGATTCGAGGCTTGTCGCAAACGATTTTTTGTCCAAAAAATCCTGTATTGTGTGGTGTCATTACGATTATTTAATTGCTTACTTGATCGGGCTCCTCTGACATGATACCCGCGATAGCCAATGAGAGTGAGCAAGCGTCACCATAATAGATGTTGTGTGCTTCTATAGCTGAAACTTGGCAACCACAAACATGCCACGAAAGTACAGTATACTGAGAAAGAATATCACCCATATTCTTTTTTCCCCTATTTTTTTTTCTATTTGTCCTCCATGTGTTTTACTTCTCTAGTCATGTTCGATCTTACGAGTCTCCATAGTGTGCGCGTTTAAAGGATTATTACACTAAAATTGGTTGAAACTGTCTTCATGTTTGTGGTCTCCCATGGTTATAAATTCAGTTAAAGGTGACATATTATGCCCCTTTTTACAATATGTAATATAAGTCTCTGGTGTCCCCAGAATGTGTCTGTGAAGTTTCAGCTCAAAATACTCCACAGATCATTTATTATATAATGTTTAAAATGCCTATTTTGAGTGGAAGCGGAAACGCGCGGTTTTTCGGGCCTGTCTCTTTAAATGCAAATGAGCTGCTGCTCCCCTCCCCCTTTTCCAGAATAGAGCTGCGCCTTTACAGTTCGTATCTGCTAAAAAAACTATTTTTTGGTTCTGATTATCATGTTTATCGCACTGAAATAATGCGTTTTAAACCATATGAGTTTAAACTTCTGATATACGGTTTTCTGAGCGCACACATCCGAAGCACACGGACAGAAAGCGGCTGTCACAGCATGTGAGTACTAAACTAAGTTCTCATTCACACTCAAGTTACGTTAAAAACACAAATGAGTTACAAAAACAGTCAGTTATGTCTGTGAAGGTAAACAGCTGGGAAATAAATCGCTTGTTTATTTTAGATCTGTGTGGCAGCAGCAATATACAGTAAATAAATCAATAAATCCACTGCTGTGTTGTCTCCTCTGAGGCTGGGACTCTAAACAGTGTTCTGTGCTCGTCTGTGCAGCCAAAGAAATCAAAATGACGGCGTCGTGGGTGGAAATTGACAGATTAAGGGGTGGTAATATTATAATGAGATCCCTTTGCCACGTCACCAAGGGAGCCAAATCAGATGCGCTCGTTTTCTCAGATGCTTGCAGAAAAAGGCTTCCCAAAACAAAGTTACTGGGTTAATCATTTTCACGTTTCCTTGGTTGGTAGATGCACCGGGGACCTGATTATAGCACTTAAAAAGCAGTAAGTATTTCCAATAGCACTGGAAAAGTCAGATTTTCATGATATGTCACCTTTAAGATTTGAAAATCGTCTAGTGTGTCCTAGGGCTAAGTTAGGTTTTCACCTTTTGTAGTTTTGTAGAATTCCTTTAAATTCTCACTAAAAAGTAGGATGTGCCACAAACAAACTACAAAGACCCTTTAGGTTTTTGTAAAAGATCTTAAAAAGCTCAATTGTTTTTCACAGGTAGTTCGCGGGAGGTTGTGATCATATATATTTTCAGAAGTCTGCCCTTCATCTGTCTGCTGGTGGTGTTCTTTTACCTAAACAGGGACAAAAAACAAGTCACAGCATCAAGACCAGGTTACTGTTCAACATATCCAACACAAACTTCACAACATAGTTTAGCTGTTTGTTTAGCCTTTAACCAAACAAACCAGCTCTGTGATGAAGAATTTGATTCAAACTTGCGTCATTTGATCTGAAACAAAAATATAACTGATAAAGATACAAGACTGAATGCTTAACACCTTTCACAAGACCAGTATCACATGTATCCTAAAAAGATAGAATTGCAGAATTCCAGAATGCATTGCTACAATGATTGTAAAAAAATCCAAGATGATGCAAGAATAATGCACAAAAGATGATTTAATTAATGCAAAAACTATCAATAAAGATAGTCACTATTTTACAACCTCTGAGTTCTTATCTTGAAAGGTTTACAGTCAATTATAAATACATTTAATTACAGAGATCTTTAATAGGATTTTGTTTTTTCTAAACACTTGACAGAATATTCAGATTTTTAAAATCGCAGCAGTGGTGTATGAATTTGTGGTCAGAGGTCAGTGTCTAAGAACATATCAGACTGTTTGTTTTCATGCATGAGCACCTATTGACTATTTTTGTCTCTTTGTTATGACAAAGTGTGGTAAGCAAAGTTAAATAATGGGTTTGTACCACAGTTAAGAATAGTTCACCCAAAAATGAAAAATTTGCTGAAAATGTGCTCATCCTCAGGCCATCAAAGATGTAGATGTGTTTCTTCATCAGAACAGATTTTGAGAAATTTAGCATTGCATTGAATGGGTGCCGTCTGAATGAGAGTCTAAACAGCTGATAAAAACATAGCAATAATCCACAAGTAATCCACATGACTCCAGACCAACAATTAATGTCTTGTAAAGTGAAAAGCTGCGTGTTTGTAAGAAATAAATCCAGTATTAAGGCACTTGAACTTTAAACTGTTGCTTCTGGCCAAAATACAAGTCCATAATCCATAATAATACTTCCTCCAGTGAAAAAGTCCATCACCTGTTGTCTTCTCACATCAAAATCCACCGATAAATTTGTTTATAACTGTTTTGGACTGTTTTCACTTGTAAACGGTGCTTGATCTGTGCAGACTTTTTCACTGGAGAAATCATTATTATGGATAGAGGACTTTATGGATAGAAGTAAAAATGTCTTAATGATAGATTTATTTGTTATAAACATGAAGCTTTTCACTTCACAAGTCATTAATTGAAGGACTGAAGTGGTGTGGATTACTTGTGGATTATTGTGATGTTTTTATCAGCTGTTTGGACTCTCATTCTGACGGCACCCATTCACTGCAGAGGATCCACTGGTGAGCAATCACTACATCTTGGATTGCCTGAGGGTAAGTACATTTTCAGCAATTTTACATTTTACTTTTTTTGGCAAACTGTTCCTTTAAAGTAAAAGTTAAAGGCACAATACTATGTAATTTTTGCGCTAGAGGGCGCGTATTCAAAATAAACAAATAGACAAAGGCGTAGTTTGATGACGCAGTGACTGAGTGTGGAATCATGGGTGTTGTCATCTTCATCCCCACAGCCGATGCAATCCGACGAGACTCGGGCAGAAATCATGTTCGTGGATGAGCTAATAATTTATTAACGTAGTAGAATGAAGCAGGGTGAGGCTGAAAGCCGTCGAAGCGAAACGAGCTTAGATGTTAGTGAGATCTTGCTGATTTCTTTCTTTCTTTCTTTCTTTTCAATCTAAAGCAGTTGAGCATGCTGTAGAGTCAGAAAGACCGGATGAAGACCTGGAGGCCGGAGAGACACAGGAGTGAAACTGAAGAGGCGAAACAGGGTGAGAATGTTTCTGAACAGGAGAAAAAGAGGGTCAGTAACGAGAAACCTGAAGTTACTGCTGCAACAGAAGAAGAAGAAGAAGATGAAGAAAAACAGATTGATGTAGTTGTAGACACTGAACAAGGTACATCTCCAATGCATGACAATGAAAAAAACAAGACTGAATCTGTTCTGAACACTGACGAAAGGACACATCTAATGACTGATGCTGAAGAAGTGACTGTTTCTGTGCTGGGCGGCTTTGTTTCAGCTCTGTGAGACACACAGGAAATGGAGTCATGGGTGTGTTGTTCAGGTCTATGATGCCACTTCCTGCATGATTGCTTGTTTGCAGACTCATAATTGTTTGCAATGATTTACACTGAATTCTGAAAGTAGATGAAATATAATATGTCTTGTGCATGCATGAATCTTTCTGTTTGATTGTGTGTATTGTGGGATTGTGTATATGGTTGTGTTCAGTGTGTCTTGGGTGAATTGAATGCGAGATCAGTTTTGTGGTTTACTGTGGGCTTCGCTGTGATAAAATTAGTTACGTGGGGAGGGGGTGAAATTCTGAGAGTACGAGTGTCTCATGCGTGTGAAAGGTTGTGATGTGGGAGTAAAGCAGAGTTCAGATTCTCAGCAGATGCTCAGAAATGAAGTGTTCCTCCAGACTCCTGTGTGGGCTCCTCATGTCATGCCTTTGTTTCAGAGGTAAGTGCCACTCGAAACTCCTTCCCCAATGGAAAACCAGCACAGATGCTCCAGGATACTGTTCTGTATAGTACAAAATCAAATAAATCAACTGTAGAGCTGTGAGAGGATGCTGCCTTTCTGTATTCATCAGGAGACATTTTTGTAGCATTTTGGACTATTTTAATAAACACTTGTGAAGAGTTGTCTAGTTGTATAATTAGAGTATATGGTAATTTTTTCTGCCATGCTGTTGATCGCTTAGAAAAAAAAAAAATTCTTCATTATTCCTTTGTTGTTGATATTTAAACATGTTTTATAAGGTAGAGCTGTATAAGAAATTAAAAGGTACTACTACTAAGGAAGGTGGAAGATTTGAAAAATCTAAAAACTAGCTAAGTCACTCAGTAACATTTGTAGGCATGTATATACTCTTATGTATATATATATATATATATAAGAGATAGACTTTGTGGTCTTTATTTTTTTTTCACAATTATCACCCATTATTCTTGACAATGTTCTTTTCTTTTTTCCCACCTTGATGTGGTTTTATTTCAAATTCTCACCAGTGGTTTTGCACCATCGTGATGGGCTTCTTTTTTTTTTTTTCTTAAGAGATATTTCCTTATAGTGGGTCTTAACTAACTTAAAATTCTCAATAACAGATATTATTGAATCTTTGATTTTTTTATGAATTAAAAAATAAATTATAATTTTTACATATGATATTTATGTATTTCTTGTTTATTCTACAAGGTTAAATGCACTGTTAATCCTTAAAAATAGGGCACGATATAATAAAGGAATTTTCCGTATTTATTTTTTACAGGTGCATGTTTTACCTGTATTTTACATTTTGCACTTCATTGCGTTATGTTTTAGGGTTAACGGAAATGTCTGTAAAATTGCCTGTACCAGTATTTTTATTTTTTTTATTTTTGTTTAAATACTAACAGTTTAAGTAACAGAAAAGTCCTCAAAGCCACAAGATAATACAACAAAACGTTCATGTGTTTTGTGTGTGTTTATGCTTTTCTCACAGTTTCAAGTGAGAATCTGTCTGTGATTCAGAGTCCACCCAGCATCACTGTGAATGAAGGAGAATCTACTCACATCAGCTGCTGCTGGAATGAAATCACACAGAAAGTTAAAGTTGCTTGGTACATCAATGAGAAAAAACACACCAGAGTAAAGCAGTTACTCCAAGAGCATAAAACACAGAACTGTTCAATTCTGAATCTCACAAACATACTTAAAAACACTTCAGGTCATTATGTTTGTGAAGTGACTCAAGACATACCAGTCCTGCTTGAGAAGAATGGTAGTGGAACAGTCTTATCTGTCAATGACAGCGATAACAAAACAGTGACTGGTAAGATTCTTCCTTCACAATATAATTGTTACTACAAATCCCAATACAATAATAATAAAAAAAATCATACAATATAATTTCAGTTCAACTAATTCAGTCTATTCTGTTGAAGTTTCTGACCCGCCTCAAACTACCCAGACTGCACACAGTTCACCAGCACCAGAAACTTCACCTCCCTTTCTGCCTTTGTCTCTGGCTGCTGCCATCAGCCTGCTGACCCTCTGCTTGGCCTTCAGTGTGTGCAAGATGAGAAACTCCTGTAAAAAATCAGGTACACTTCAATACTGAGACTCATTACTGGTGTGTTTGTGCTGCTGCATTGTTTTCATCATCTGTGATATTGCTGTACTGTACTTATGTTTTCCTGCAAAGCTTAGACTTATTAAAAGTTCATTACGAATTATAAGGCTTTTTACACCAATTATACCCAGTTCAATACTGTAATCACAGCCAGTGTGTCTATTTATTATTCATTCACGGATTGGACGAATTGGACATTTTCTTCAGCTGACTAAACAACAGCACCACTCAAAAAAAAAAAAAACTTACACTGACTAACAGTACAGTGAATGATGCAAGTGCATGTAATATGAAAAATAATGTAGCCTATGTCACAAAGTTGCTGTGTGAGCAGGTCTTTTATGTCAAAACCTGTCAGATTTTGTAGCGGTGTGGCCCCCCGCACAGAAAGTGCAACTGTTGAGCTTATGCAAACACACATTTAACGTTACTTTTTAAAAGTAACAGTTATTATTCTAAATAAAATAAAATAAAAAAATGAATTACTATTACTATTAATAGTAGTTACTATTAATTACAAAAATTCCAAAACATTATTTTTAAGATAATCTAATTTTTATATTATATAAAAATATATTTTCAAATATTTGTATATATGTGTATTAATATAAAATATATAAATTTTATTTGACTTAAATAATATTTTGTTTTTGAAAAAAAAAAAAGTGTTACATTGTTACTTTTTGCAGACATGCATTACTAAAACCGGTCTCAAATGATGGGCTGCAATTAGTACATTCTGAATGGATCACAAACAGCAAGAAAATCAATGTTTTTCTCTGCAATTAATAAATAATCAAACTCTGGTATTTTAGCATACATTTTGCCATTCGGTATTATGGTTAATATTAATAAAATACAAGACCAGTGTTTGGTTGGTAAAACACTTCAGCTGTTTATGCATTTACGAAATGGCCAGTTTTCCCTATTCTGACAATGTCGTATTAATCATTTTCATCTTGTTGGCCTGTACATTCTGTATTAGTATTAATTTTCAAATTAATATATTATACTATTTACATATATAATTTTACATAATATATTTCTACAATATCTCATGTAAAATCTGGTTTCTGAAGCAGAGCCATTGCTTGAGTTACTTGCATTACTATTTCAGTTGGCTGAGGCTCTCTCACACACTCTTGCAGGTGTTTTGTTTTTTTTCTAATTTGTGGTAAAGTGGGATTTAAAAATTATTATTTTTTTGCTGTAGTCAGTTTTTTGTCGTCTGGACATAGCTTGCATGCAGTGACTTTAACACCTCTGTATATAAGCAGTGCTACTTATAACAAAGACAGCTTTGTTGGCTTATAATGGGAACAGTATATTTTTGTTGTGTCACAATGCCCGCTTGCAGTGTAGACATTGTGTCATGCACACTGCATAGACTTATGTGGCTTGTTGGGCAGGGCAAATTGTTTGGTTCTATGTGTCAGTAAATAAATAAACAAATAAACAATAGAAAGTGCATTGCTTGTTTTGGGAAAGGTTTGAGAGGCATACCTGTTACTTCTAATTAAAAAATGCAATCAGTCATGGAGATGAGAGCAGTCTGGTATTCATTTGACCTGCACAAACATAGATTTACTAGATCAAAAATTCTATAATAACATAAAGCTGGTTTGAAAAGTTATGTATGGTTTTGAATTGTCATCATAGATATTTGGATGTAGCCATAAATCTCAATGTCTGTATCTTACCTCAGAGAGAGTGGTCATTCACCAGACGCCTAGCAGTGAGGGTGAGGAGCATGAGCACATGGAAGAGGAGGACGGTAGCACAGGCTCCTCTCGAGGTTCCCTCCAATGGGTAAGTCAGATCCAACCTCATGAGAAGTCGAAATAATTGGTACAAGATAGCAAAATTATATGCGTTGGGTCATGCAAAAACATACAACTCTAACCTAAGTCTATCTATAAAGCCTAACCATGTTTGTAACAGAAAACAACTATTTGTTGAACTAAGTTGTTTTTAGGAATGTGTTGGTTGGTTTCTAAACACACCCATGGCGCCAAATGTTGGTGTTTGGCTCTGTTTGAAAGAGAATACTAGCGTACTGCATGCTGCAAATTATGTCTTGTGTATTATTTTGTAAAAACTCAAAGGTGTTTGGTGTCACATGACCTTGTGATGTTACATGTACAGTCAAGTTCTTTTTATTTCAGTATCATTTTCACAGTGGACATTGTTCCAAAGCAGCATTACAGAAAAATAATGTCTTAAATTGTCTTAAATTCTTAAGACTAATTTCTTAGTTAAATGATTTGTGTGCAGTTATCATCTTGGAAATACATAGGGTTATTTTGCATGTTTATTGTAAAAAAAAAAAAAAACCTTTAGCTGTTAATTTGTCACACTGGACTGAAGTGCATTGCATTGCATTGTGTATCCCACACAGTCCCAGTCGGCACATGGCTGACCTTTAATGTTGAAATAGTTGCAATAATGTCAGTTGTAGTTTCAACATTGAAGAAACATTGAAATAACATTTAATGCTAAATGGTTACAAAAAGGTTATCAAAATACTTGGCTGAAATTCATTCTGTCGAAAAGGTGTTGAAACAATGTCGCAAATCAACGTAAATTCAACAAAATCGAAAAGTGATTCAACCTTGATCCATAAAATTGGTTCACCTGTGGATAAAAACTGAAAAGACATCTGGAAGTGTGTTCTGTATTGTTGTAACATTTTAGGAAATGTAGTAGGTCATTAGAGTTATTCATACATATGCATTCAAAAATTAGCATAATGCAAATTCCAAAACAGACTCTTTATGAAGGACCCTTGACCCAAATCAACAATAATGCATTGTAATACAGGGCACAATAAAATGTGTCTCAAGTAGACACAAGTAGCCTTCAGTTTTTCTTCTGAATTAGAATGAATTAAAAATGTTTTTGCTCTGGATTGTTTTGCTTCCCACATTATTGTATGATGTCATAAAGCACAATTTCTGAGCAACATCTGCAATTCCACTGTGAGAGCATGCGGCGAGATCTCACTGATGCGCTTCTGAGCCTCATTCTGTGTCAAATCTGCTCTTTTATATCACGTCTCTTTAAATTCTCTAGGATTCTGATGAAATTATTCCATATTACATCCATATTTCAAATGACAAGACTGTTTGATGCATGCTGTTTTTCTCTCTCTACAGTATCAAGTGCCTGTTTACTGGTCTTACTTTGATCTACAGAGGGGTGAAGACCAGTGACAACCAGAAAGGAAAGACAAACGTGATGTTCAGTTCATTGGATTGCATTTTGCATTCACTCTCTTCTTTCATGAGAGCATTTTTGTAAATAGCAGAAGCGATTTTAATCTTCAGATACAGTTGAAACCCTCAGTTGAAGCTCTTGATTGTGGTATCAGATGTTAATCTCTCTGTTTGTATAGCAGCTCTATTGATTTTTATTCTTATTTTAATTTTGTTGTTTTTTTATACGAGTCTTTCTTTAATTAAAGTGAAGGTGTGTCATACTGACATGCATGAAAAACTACTTGGATTTCATGCCCAGACAGATGCAATTCAAACATGTATAAAAGTAACTCATACTGCCTGCCCTGAAGTTTTAGTAGTTCTCTGTGTCTTTTTATAATAAAGAGTTTTATGCTGTACAGATGTCGGCTATGCCTTTCAGCCTTCTTAGAAATGTTTCTAGGACTTGATTCTGACACTTTCATACTGTGGTTTCTTTTGCCATTTACAAAAAAAGGTCTGTGAAAACCATTGACTGTGATACTTGTGTACGTGAGACAGAAGAGAGTGAGTAGATGTTGAGTTACAGGGTGGAAACTGTGATGGTATCGACAGGTCAATGGCAGGAAATGGAAACTGCAGTGCATCTGGTTTCCTTTGACTTTATTTTTAACATGATGCACTTGTGTGTTCTGTTGACCAAACAAACAAAGCAACAAGTAATAAAGTAAATAAAATTTACTGGTAGTCACATAGAATAAATACACCAGGTTTTCATGACAACTGCAAGCAAACATATGCTGATGTCAGAGTTCTGACTGTAGGCACTGATAGTTGAAAACTGCAGCTAACTTTGCTAAACTGCCTGCCTGTGTGTGTGTGTGTTTTAATGAGCAATAATGCCCCTGGACATGTACCATGAATAAAGTAAACTAAAGTCAAAATGAATGAATGAATGAATGAATGATGCATTTATATAGCGCTTTATTGTGTATTGCTGTACACCCAAAGCATTTTACAATCACGTTGGGGGGTCTCTCAACCACCAGAAAAAATGCTCCCTTACTTGTGTGTGAACTTCACTGCCTCAAGTTGTTTTCTTCATAAGGTTTTGACTATGCTGCCTGCTAAAATACAGTTATATTGTATATGTCTATAAAATGAGTAGGTATAGAAACAAAATATTCTCTGTATTCTTTATTTTTCTCACCCTGTCTCTCTTTATTTTTTATTTTCTTACTTTGTATGATGTCTGTCCTTCCTCCAGGGGAAACGGCTAGCCATTTGAACAAGCAAACAACATCAGTCTACAGTAAATATCCAATCAAGATTGACTACCACAAAAACGTTTGAGAAGGCGAAACACATTCTGGTCATTCATGTGTTTTGGACAACAGATTGTACAGTCTATAAAGAATGATTCTAAACATACTTGTGGTGAAAACTGTGCACAGTGTGATTTAGACAGATGCAAATTCTTAAGTATGAGGTGTGTAAGAGAAAAACTGAATCTAGGTCATGGTAGTGCATGAAGAGGCCCAGTACAACTTGATGGAGCATTTGTTGTTGGCCATCTCTTTAGATTTAGTCAAAATCTGAAGTTATTTGGTGGCACAGTTAGTTTAATTTCCCTATGTAAGAAATAACTGCAGGTTTTAAATGCGTCATCATTAGCTTATTAAAGGTCATGGTCTGTATGCTTGAACACTGAGGCGTGAAACCACTATGAATCTTACCACCACTAATATTGTTTTTAAGCACATGCTTGAAGGAGCAGTCACACTAGACCTACACTAGGCCTTCCATTCATTTCCATTCATACACATGCATATGTGGGACACGAAGAATTTTCGCAGTTTGGCTGTGTTCTGAAGTCCAAGTTTAGTAAACTCTTCATATTAAAGGGGTCATATGATGCGATTTCAATTTTTCCTTTCTCTTTGGAGTGTTACAAGCTCTTGGTGCATAAAGAAGATCTGTAAAGTTGCAAACACTAAAGTCTCAAATCCAAAGAGATATTCTTTATAAAAGTTAAGAGTTAACCACGCCTACCTAAAACGGCTCGTTCTAACACGCCCCCACATATCTACATCACTATGTGGGAAGATTTGCATAACGCCGCCCAAATGTTCACACAA